GCCTTCTAGCTTTTCTAGTTCTCGAGTTGAAATTGGGTGACAGAAAGTGCGAACACACACACACACACGCAAACAGTCTCTTCCCAATATGCGTTTTCGCAGTTTACACGTACGCAAAAACGCATAATAAAACACAAACGGAGGAAAGAAAAAATCATGATGGATGAATTATGTGGTACCATAAGAATGAAGGGCAACAACTGCAACAAAGGAAAGTTAAAATGCATTTTTGATAGCTCGATTCATTTTGTGGTAATGAATAATATCAATGCTTATCATAGCCTTTTTGAAGTACGTGTCTGGATTAAGATACGAACCCCAAAAATTCAAGCCCCGGCTTTTTATCCGAATTTATCTAAGTACCCTCCACACAAGAGTAGCACACCTATTCCTTTAGGTGTCTCATGGCACTTCATCAGGATCTTCCCTTGCCCGGGTTCAAAATATTTACTAGGTTTTTTTTTTGCAAAAAGATAGTTACCTGTTGGAAAGTGGAGAGGGATGCCAGAATGGAGCCACCGATCCAGACCGAATACTTACGCTCCGGCGGTGCAATTATCTTGATTTTCATCGTGCTTGGTGCTAAAGCGGTGATTTCTTTCTGCAAAAAAGTTTATGGATAGCACTGGAAGTCAAACTTGTATTTATAAAATAAGTACATAATGTCGAAAATTTAGAAAATTTATAGAATTTAGAAAACCTATCAAGTATTTTGCAAAAAACAAAATACTTGATATTGAGCTCGATTTCACAATAATAAACTCAAGTTTAGCAGCAGTACTCACTACTGTTGCTGCTAATAACACGTACTTTCGAACCTGAAGCTTGCTGTGTGTGTGTGTGTGTGTAGGCAAGACGTTTCATGTATCATCAAAAGAGACAAGTGACGAAAGTGTTGCAACTTGAACATTTGACGCATCCGCGTGCAGGGGTGCATGCGGAAGCAGGAGCTCACTTTACTTTCGCAGACGAGGCCAGCTTTTCTGGTATTTTGTTAAGGCAAATGATGCAAAAAAAAGAAACTGCGCGGATTTCACGGATAACAACAGAACCTGCATTCGATCAGCGATACCCGGATACATGGTTGAGCCACCGGATAGCACATTGTTTGCGTAAAGGTCCTTTCGGATATCGATATCACACTTCATAATGCTGTTGTATGTTGTCTCATGGATACCAGCAGATTCCATACCCAAGAAAGATGGCTGCAAACGGGCATGATAGTAACTGAACGCTGGCCATGGATCGTCTCATCACAAGTGACTTTAAAAGATTTCGAAGTACAAAATTTGTCCTTCCCAAGAATAATTTTAAAGAAACTGCGATATTCATTATAAATTCGAATTAGTTGCAAAATAAATATCAAGTTGTTTCTGAATATAGAAAATGGAAAATTTTTCAAATCTGACAGTAGCATATGAAGTAACTTTAAACTTTTTCAGGATCTACGCTAAGA